TACTCACATTTCCTTTGTTCTATGCAATGTATTAAGTAAAAATATGTTTGGATTTCCATTCATTTCACAAAGAAATTCTATCAGTACAGCTTAACTAGGCCAAGATCTTCTTTCCCTACACCACAGTTGGCCCTAAATTCAAGACAATAGCTCTAGCCAATCCGGATTTCACCATTTAAATCCATCTCCATCTGGAGTTTATGGCACTTTGGCTTATCCAGAGAAGATAAAAATAAAAGCAGACTGAACGATTGCCATATACACAGTTTCAAATATTAGACAATTAAAGGGCTGCGGTTGTTTTAATCATTCAGACTGGGATGAAAAATCAATGGCTGTAATTGGTTACTGTGGTTTTTCCCAGTCCATGTTTTTACTCTCTCCCAGCTCCCTACCGGTGGAACTGTCTAACAGGGAGCTTGGAGGGAGCAAAAACGTGGACCGTCTGGGGGTCGCCGAGGACCAGGTTAAGGAACACTGAGTTACCGAAAGTAGCTTGGTTCTCAAAACAGGGAATCATACATCTACAGCTCAGTATATGCAGCATGCAGAAGGGGACGAGGCTTACTTACTGTTTGCCTGAGGATTAGAGAAACACTTTTTAAATGGAATTCACTGCATTATCAACTACTATGAGCACTGGAGCATCCAGTGATGATCCAAAAATAAAAAATGGACACGATCCCTGCAACTTTTTTTCCCCCAACAGATATTAATACGATACAGAGACTGAGTAGCTTAGAGGGACAGTACTCTTCTGGAAGGAAATTAAAAGGTATGCAGTATTCCCTTTCTTTACCTAATGAGAAGCCTCTCTTTGGACCATAGAAGGTAGCAGCAGCTCAACCAGAAAATGCTGCCGACTTCTCGCTCTGCCAGTCTGCCATCCACAGCCAGCTGGCAAGGCGGCCACATCTGCTGTAGGATGTGGGGGTATCAGGTCAGAAACCTGATGCTGAATGCGATTCCCGATACACAGGAACGCTTCTATCTTCCACATGTAGGAAACATCAATAGATCTGCAGTGCCTGGGACACCAAAGTCATTGTGTTCACAAGAGTTTGAGTATCGGTGTTGGACAACTCCTTCCACAGAGTCAGGGGCAGCTGCCAAGCAACGAGCCAGACCAACTTACAGCCGGATTATTAACAGCAAATATAGGACGGATGCCCAGTGTGCACTATAGCATTGCATTTGGCAATACAAACGTGGTCATAAAGCAGAAATTATAGCGTATAAGTGCCTTTGGGCAGCATCTATTTAGTTTATTTTCAGCTTTTTTGTTTCCATGTTCCAGTGCAACTAAAACAAAAGCTTATGTAAAAGTCACTTATTGAAAAGCACAATTTACCAAACAAATAGAAAAAAGTTTTAAGGACGGTGTAACAAACCAGTAAATGATGTATGCTAAATATGTTGTAATTTTCATTGCCTACGGTGGTTAGCTAAAAAAGAAATTGGACTTCACGAATGGGCATTTGCCCAGAAGAAAAAAACTACTTATATTTAAGAAAGAGCGAGTATTTTACCTTAAATGGTTGATTATATAGCATATATACCCTCAGGGACAAATAAAGTTTTTGAATTGAATTGAATTGAATTGAATTGAACTGAACTGAACTGAATTGAATTGAATTGAAATGAATTGAATTGAAATGAACTGAACTGAATTTCTGCTCCAGTAAAATGTGGCTCCCATTATCCATACTCTGAAAGACCATTCAAAGATGCGGAATTACCTTCTATTCAGACTGACTGATATGGAGCCACACATTAAAGATAAATAATGAGAAAACAAGAAGACTGTACAATTGAGGTATATTTTTGATCTGGGATTCTTAGTACAATGATGCAAAAAACATGCAAGAAAAACTTTCACGTCTGTCATGTCTCTTAAAGTGTTTCGGCCAGGGCTTCCATGAGTTCATTGTAGTAAAGTGACATTTTGTATATATCAGACTTTATATGAGAAACCCACGGCCTAAAATTTAATTCAGCTTTATACCACATAACTGTGAATTGGTCAAATGCCTTGCACCAGCAAAAACACTGTCTTAAGTTTTTACCTTAAAATAAGTTAAGTGCATATTTGAAGACACTTTTGCACCTTGATTTCCCTTCTGATTAAACCTGATGGCAGCTCTCAATTCATCAACATGGCTGTACATCTTATCCTTTGAAATCCTTTCCCGCCATGCCACAATTGTCTGGCCAGCAGCAAAGGAGAGGTTTCCGCCCAAGTGAAATCAGTAACCGTCCCCCTCATGTGATTCCAGCTTTTTCGCAGCGCTGTGTGGGTAAGGGCTTATTGAATTAAGCCAGCTGTTTATTTCATTCCACACTCAAATCGTTTCCTTGGTGCCTGATCCATTCAGCTTACAGCTAAGGTCAAAAGAACAGTCACTGGCAACAGACAAAAAAAAACTTTCACCATGTTCTACTGGATGGTGTGGCCTTATTATATATATAATATATATATAGTAAAATGCCTTTTCCTGGCAGTCAGCGTTAATCTCTTCAGGAAAATTTGGCAAGATTTTTTTCCTTACTCTTTATTTCCATATGTGTGGTTTACTCTCCAAAATAACTAGCTCAGCGTATCAGTACTACACAGCTGCATGTTCTGCCGGAGCTATTCAGGTTAACTTTCTTGCTCAGGGCAAACTGAGCGACCTTCAGTGATAAATCCAAACCCCTCCCCCCGCCCGCTGCTGCCTTATCTCTACACTGGTGACGCATTTTTACAAAGAGAGCGACTGGATATGGCTCCGATTGAAATCGGAGGTTTCAGCAAATTGAGAACCTTGGAGACGGCAGGTGGTGATTTGGGTCATCATTCCACTGGCACGAACGTATAGTTATAGTGGGGAAAGTCACAGATTCGTAGCCCAAAGGCTGTTTTTTCCAGGCAGGGCAAAAGAATTTCACCCAAATCCCACCAGCAAAATATCCAAATGCATAAAACAGGAACAAATTGTATGTTTCTTCTAAACAGCAACCACAATGTAAATAAATGTAAATGCAGCACCTTTCAAGCCATGGAAAGGACTCCTCCCATAGGAGTGGGGCCATTTTTATTTACAGAAAAACAAAGTGACCGATTCTGTCCTGTTTTCGCTTCCCTCCTCTACGAGCCCTGCGATTCAACAATGTCATGGTAGCACGACAGGTCTGTAATTACAGTCCTTAAGCGGATATCTTAGGCTCCAGCAAAATCATCGGCTACGCCCAGGGATCTCTCCGTGTCCGCGCCTTTGCGTGGGAGGCGTCTGCCGGGGCGGTGGTGTCAGATTTGTCCCTTCTCGTCAAGACATCCTACTGTTTGTTCTCCCTCATGCACAACACTACACTGTTGCATCTGGATTACTTCGTCCCTTGAGTTGAGTTGCTACACACGACATGTAAAACATTAGGGGTTTCGCTCCGAGAGACGACTGCAAGATTACTTACTGAAATGTCACATCACCTCAATATATAATTTAACAAGAAAATAAAATAGCACCAGCTGAGATTTTGCAGAGCGAGACTGGATTAGGGGCTAAAGGCAAATATATATCCACCGAGCTGTGTTGCTGTTTACTTCTAGGACTATTTTCTATTTTATTGTTCTTCCTGATGGAAGCTTTAGACACTTTCCACAAATGAAGACAGATAGTCTTCTTTTGTCAGACGAGGAACAATTTCATCTCCTGTCATTCCAAAATGTATATGAGAACATGCCGGCCTACTTATAAATGGACCGCAGCATGAGCAGCCGTTGTTGTTTCTTTGAAATTTTCTCCCAGGAGACTGGGAGTCAATGGCTGGGAGCCGCACGCGGCGGGGGCCAAGGCAGCCGCTACGGAAGCAGGGCAGCGGGCAGCGGGCAGCGGGATAGCAGCTACGCCGGAGGCGGCAGTCAGCTGTCCGTCGCAGCCGTCAGCCCGGCGTGCGTCTCCCGGCCCCCTGGGGTCTCCGTCTAAGCTAAGCTGAGCCTGTTGGCCCGTTTCCAAGGTGCTGGGCCATGGCACGCAGCCCGTAGGCATACGGCCCATCGGCACACGCCGCGACGGCACAAAGACGGGTGGAGCGGAAGCAGTTGGATGTGTGAGGCAGGGGGCACAACGCCGGCTATATGGCGGGGGCTCTCGAGCGCATGCTCGCTGTCTCTCCCACAGAAAAGCTGCCTGTTCTTAGAGCAAGCAGCTGTTCCACACCGAGGGACACGGGGCTGAGATGGACAGCAGGCGAGGAGACGGCAGAGGGAAAGGGCCCCAGCCTCCCTGTCACCTCGAATGGCACCAGACATGTCCGCTTATGTAAGTATAACTTCAGAGTTTAGGCCTTTGGTCTTTCAAACCAAACATACAGTACTGTGCGAAGGTCTTAGGGAGTCAAAGGGAATGTGTAAAAGCTATTTATCTGGGTGCTAAGTGCACTTTTGCTCAGAGCAAAAAACACAATTTAGCATAAGAACAAATGCAGAGTAAGAGTAACAATAAAAACTGGTAAAACTTTCTTCCGTTCTCTAAAAAGTTACTTATATGCTGTTGGATGACTAGATGAACACAGAACACCGTGCCTCTCCTCAGGGGCTCCCCAGACGATGTAATCGTTAATCGTTAAATACAAGGTGTACTAGTGATACATGGGTGCATCTGATGGTTACTGCACATACTGGGGTGATTTTAGCAAAAGTTTTGAAATGGCTAAGCTAAGACAGGCATAATATCAAAGTTTTACAACAACATGAAGATCATTTAAACATCACTGTCTTTGACTAATACTGTATATGATATTTAACGTATATACATAGGCTAATTTGGTGTACCTGTAGTGCATGGGAGTGAATGCATGCGTATCTGACTTGTATCTCATTCTGATTGTATTCCCCTTCCTTGTGGTTTTTGGCTCCCCAGTGACACTGACCAGGATAATATGGATGGATATGACTAGAGAGTAACTGCCGGTTAACCTTAAGTATGCAAGGCGCCGTGTTTGCAAGCTGTGTGAGATCCCACCTGGCCCCGGTGACATCCACGCCCACCATCAGCTGCCCGTTGATGGTCAGGAGCTCGTCCCGCAGCTTGATGTCCCCGCAGCGGGCGGCGGGGCTGTTCTTCTTCACCTCCGTCACCCAGATGCAGCCGACGTCGAGGACAGGGCCCTTGTCGCCCTTCCTCCGCCTCCGCCGTCCTTTCTTGCGACCCTCAGGGTCCCCAAAAATAGGGATGTTCCCAAAGCTGAGGCCGAACTCGTGGCCATCGCCACGGGCCTTGTGCAGCCAGATGGCGCGTACCTCCACGTCCATGTCCTCCTGAGGCGTCACCGGCTGCAGGGCCGCGTCCCCTTCCACAAAGTTTAGCTGTATGTACTCTACCAGCTTACGCACGGCGGCCTGGCATGGCTGCGTGCCGCCCTGTCCCGCGTGGTTCTCCGTAGCCTCCAGCCAGCGCCCCAGCAGGGCCAGGTAGCTCAGCGAGTTCTCCTGGGTAATGGGCATCATCCAGACTCAAACAGTCCGAGGAATGGTCACATCATGGGGGCTCCACCTCACCTGAGCTGCCGTCGCTCCCCAGGAAGGCAGGAGCGGCTTGCGTGGGCCTGATCCGTCTCCATCTCTGCAGATATACTAATAGCTCGGCTTGGCTCATGCGCAACAGACAGGCCCACCACATCTTCCCGCCATTAATTCTAGCCAACTCTGGGCCATGATGTCATGCTATAAAAAAAGACCCCAAGAAGAAAAAAAGTAAGGCAACCCGCTCCGGGGCCTAAGCTTTGAGTGCTAGCAGCGGAACTGGAGCCATTAGCTGCTCAGTTGAGAGGATTCCAGTCAAGCTGAAAGCGGAAAATGTTGGTTCACTGTAAAAGGAGAGCAAGGCAATTCTTCCTCCAGTGCGTCACACAGTCACCTAAAGAGAAAAACATAAAAGCTGTGTAAGAGAAATGGAATAGCGAGGAAACAGAGGAAGAGTCCCCTCAGCTCTCGCTGCAGTCGTTAAGCACAAAGAGTTATTTTCTTTTGTGGGCATGCAGCACTGAAAATAACTATTGTTTCTGAGCTTGCAGTCACAAAGAGGGGGAGGGTGAACAGTCAGAACATTCAATGCTGGTCTCTGGCATAAAAAATGAAAGATATGGCAGTCCCAGTTATGAACGATATACACTTTGATGGCATAGATGGTTGCTTAATTTCTGACCCATATTTCAGTTTGTCACAGATTCCCCCCCCCCCCAGCGACAGAATGAAAACAGTAGCTGAAAAGCCCATGGTTCATCTCCCTGACTGGACAGGGTAGCCCTTTATTTACACGAGATGCTGGGAGGGAGAAACCACATTTCTTGCCATTTTTAGGGCTCACAGTTAAATGAGTGCTTAAAGTTTTCTCCCAAAATAAACCAAAACATTCAATTCAGCAGACCTATCTTTCTCTTTAATGTGCACTTTAGCCAGTTGCAGTTTGGGTTACAAACCAAAACAACTTACAACATATCGTGAAGTGAAAATGACAACTTTGTTTTAAGAATTAAAATCCAAGACAAGTCTTCTAAAAATAAAAATGAGGGCTCTTCATAAAAAATTGCTTGTATGTTACTCAGACCTAATAATCTGGGCCATTCATCTTCATCTCTTTGGGTGTAGAGACTGTAGGACAACTCCCATTATAACAAATTAGGCACCCTGTGTAAAAGCACTAAATCACCCAAACACTACACATTGTTCACATCAAGGGGTCTTTAGCAAAAGTTACTTCCATACACTAGATCCAGTGGAGGTACAGTATGTATCCTCTGAATGTCATAATGCATGATACAGGTGAAGGTATTTCAGCCAGAGCTTAACATTTCATTTTCATTTCCAGTGTAGGATGCTAATGCATCCCCTCATATATGGACAAAAAATGTTGGGACACTGGCCATTATGACATCCCAGTCTAAATCCATAGGCATCAATATGAAGTCGGCCCCCCCTTTGCAGCTATAACAGCTGCCACTCTTCTGGGAAGGCTTTCCGCAAGATTTTTGTGTGTCTGGGAATTTTTGCGCACTCATCCAGAAGAGCATTTCTGAGGTCAGACGCTGATGTTTGACATGAAGGCCTGACTCAAAATCTCCGTTATACGTAGTTCATCTCAAAGGTGTTCGATTAGGTTGAGCTCAGGGCTCTGCGCAGGCCAGTCAGGTTCTTCCACGCCAAACTCACCCAACCTTGTCTTTATGTTTCAAGCTGTCTGGCCTAATCGGTTCAGGAGCTCTTCTCTTTGTCTGCTTTAGTTTGTGGTTGGGAGAGGAAAAAAAGGTCCAGAGCCTCTACAATTTACAGTACAGTACTGGGCTCAACTAGTGTATCATCTGGTGATAAAAGCCTCAAATCTATCAGTATCAAAAGACAACCCGCCAATACAGGACAAATGGGTAACGCTCTACTTAAAGCAGTCATCATAATGCATTATAGATACCTTCCTAATGCATTATAATGCAAGTTTTATAAACTCAGGTATAACTATTTATAAAAAAGGCATACATTATAGCCATGTTTATTATGCATTATGAATGCTCTTTGAAGCTCTCATCTATAATGTACTATAGATACCTTCATAATGCACTATAATGGTCAGTGAAATCCATTATACTGCATTATACATGAGTGCTTTAAGTAAAGTGTTACCAACAAATGATTATGAGAAAAGGAGCTGTGTGACTGAAGAAAATACAAACAAATGTTTTCTGCATTACATTATACTACTCTAGGATTATCAATAAGTTTGGCCAAAAAGTTGTTACATCTGGGAATGAAGACATTGTATTATACCAAACAAAACGTTTAGGATTTGTGATTTTTTGCATGTGCAGAGTTTCTAAACTCAGAAGGTGCTTTTCTTGATTAGGAAATATGATGTACTCTACTTTGCTCATGTTATTTATTTTCATTACTAAGAGACTTGGAGTTTCTTATCTTAATTTGAGTTAAAAAAAATTGACAATCATGTCAGTCAGTAAACCAGTGTTTAAAACTCGTCTACTGTATTTAATTTTTGATCAAGTAAAATTATATCACCAGATATTATTGGTTCTTGGAATATTTGGCTACTTAAAATCTGTATGGGAAACCACACTTCCATAGGAATTGGGTACTAGTTCATGCTGTGAAATAGTACTACAGAATAGAGAAGACATGTAATTAAAACTGTTTAACCAACAGTGTTAGGAGACTAAGTCAATAGCTCATGATCACCATGCTGTCACAGCATGAGTAGTGTGTGCACAGCTTGAGTCAGACGGTAAGCCATCCGTAATACAAAGGGGGACACAGGAGTTCTGTCCAAGCATTTATCCAAGCATTCTACTGTTTTACACTTCAGACAGACAAAACTTTCAAACACAGGGTCTCATGAGGTCATTACAGGCCTTGAGGTAGAAAAATCCAGTGGTTCCCCAGACAAACACAGAATATACTAACCTGACGCACTGTAAAAAGCATAACACTTTTTAAAAAAGTTCCCAGGAAATATGAGACCCAGAAACCCTTTGCCAAGGCATCGGTCGTCAAGGTGATTTCAGAGCAAAAGTTTCCTTTTTTGGGAAAAAGATGCTTTACACACACCCCAGTGCAAGTGTAGGCAAAGCTCCCTAAACAGAAGATCAAATTGCCAATGAAAGTTTGGTTTTAATGGGTCTTCCAGCTATTTCACACAGCAAAGCAGCAAGACTCCGAACCACATCAGTGTTTTTTGATACATTTTTGTGACTGAATGAAAATCGGATCCTGGAAAATCCAGAAATTTCAATATTAAAGTAACTTTTCTCCATTTATGATTTAGTAAATAATGAAATTATAAAATGCACTGTTTTGATCTCCAGCCTATTCACCAGATCTGCTGAACAACAGCAGCACAAAATTGCCAACACTGGCCCACTGACTGGCCTGAGCTTCTGGAAAAGCAGTTTTAACCAGACAGCTAGGATTTCACTGCTAGGATTTCACTGATGCGAGACTACAAGGTGGATTGGCAAGCATGTCACCAGCACAAATTCAGCACACTGCATGCTTTGGGCCATCACTGTAATCAGCACTGCAGCTCTGTTTACACCTCCTGCCCCATAAACACACTGCATGCTTTGGGCCATCACTGTAATCAGCACTGCAGCTCTGTTTACACCTCCTGCCCCATAAACACACTGCATGCTTTGGGCCATCACTGTAATCAGCACTGCAGCTCTGTTTACACCTCCTGCCCCATAAACACACTGCATCCTCCCATAGCTCACATAAAACAGCGACAACAAAGAGTTGGAGCAATCATTTGCTTCTTTAATGCTCAGTCATATTTTGGTTGTGTGGTTTCTGTAGCAGCCCATGTGCCCAAATAACATTAATCAAAGGCTTGGTCTCTTACCTAAAACTCTTATCTCAATACCTTAACTAATACTTACGTTGATATACCTTCCAAATATTGTGGCAAAGCAGGTAGCTCATCTCATTTGAAGTGCTGCTTATCAGCTTCTTACACAATTATGTTATTTATTATTCAGCAATTGTCATTAAATTATGCCATGAAAATTTGTACGGTTTAGCTAACATTGATTGTATATGTTGACTAATGTAGGTACAAAGAATGCTAAGGTTTTTCAAATACTGACTTATAAGATAACAACAGGCTCTCATACACAGTGTCTATGCAGATGTTTATTATGCGCAACACAATACCTGGCAGGATACATTGCTCATTGGAAGATTTAAGTAACAGTGATTTCTTTTTTTAAAAAGTTAGGCAAAACAGAACAGGGGAGAACACAGAATGAAATATGTGCTAACATTTTTTAAAATCTCTTACGTAATTTAAGTAGCATAGGAATTACTCTTGAGCGGGATGGGTGGGATACATCCTACCCAATATTCAAACTGTGGTGTTTCTCCCACCCAATATTTTCCAGGATTTTGCTGTTAAAAATATAAATAAACTCATCTACGGATCAAGGGGAAAAAACCTTTAGACAATGATTTCCGTTTCATACATATAAACAAATGTGTATAGTCAGTACTGAAAAAGACGTGTAGCCTATACATAGGAATACAAATGAGGTCATACAGAATAATGCGAGAGGGTGGATTTGCCTCAGTCACTTACTGGAGCTGTCCCTGTCCCTCCAATACTGAAAACACAGTGACACCCTTGATAAGTAGTTGCTTTAGTGCAACTAAAAATGGTGGTCATTTCAATAAAACCACTGCATTGAAACTCATCTAGGTAACAGTGAATGGCTCAATGTGAACCTGTATCTGCGGATCCCCATAAGGATCACAGTCAGTCTGGGAGTTTGAGTCACTGTCACTGGCTTAAATGATGCATCTCAGGAAAGACCCTCTCTTTGTAGTAGTGCTGAGAACGCAGATGGTCCCGCAGCAAGTACAATCTGTGCAGGGGAGGGGTGCTAATCCAGGGTCCATGTCATCTGTGAAACAGAGATCTGCACGCATCACAAACAGCGGGGGGGGGGGGGGGGGGGGGGGGGGGGGGGGGCAGGGTCTGAAGCATCCCAAAGGCAACCAGGCTGGCTTTATGCCACCCTCTGGGATGTCTGAGTCTGCCTTGGTTAATTAAAGAGATCAGGCTCCTTTTCTGAATGTTTCTGTCCAAATGCACAGGGATTGCCTCGTTGGAAAACATTTCCAGTCACAGGGCAATTAAATAAATATGCTAAAATGTCAGAAGTGCTGCCCCAGTGTGATTATGTCATACAGTACCAACACGGCACACATAACACAAATAAAATCTCTCATACTGCATGCAATTTCAAGGGCTCTAACTTTCCAGAAAGCTGCCTTTATGTCATATTACTATTACAATGTAATATTTTTTCATAAAACTTTCTGTTAAATAATTAAGCTTAGCTACAGTACCTAAATTTC